TCTCTCTATATATATATATTATATGTTCGATAGGATAAGTTTGGGTTGTCGGTATCCAGCTAGAATCCTTCGTTCCAAGGGTAAGACATCAAAATGTGACTCTTTAAGCTTCCATAAAGAACACCAAGAAACCTGGAGGCTTAGATTTCAACCCGTCTCCCAGTAAATAAACCTTACAAGCCCTAAAAGTCCTGAACTTTCGAAACCTATAGCCATAATCCCTGCAAGCCCTATTATACACCCTGACCCGGAGCCCTATCCACCCGAAACCCAAAAAGCAATGACCTTCCCCAACGGGAATGGGTATAGGTACTATATGCTCTGCATTCATAATAATAGTAATATGTATATGTATGCAAACATCGTTTACAAAGTGACCACAATGGGGACACATACAGTTCCATGCAAGCCTAAAACCGCTGAAAATTCTGAACCCCTAAGCCTACACAGACCCCAAGGTCCTGGCTAGGTGGGAGGCAAAAAACACATGCAGACCCCAAGCCACTGGAACTAATTGCAGGCCCGGCCCCATCTGCTGTTTCCTGAGGAATGCGAAGGTGACGAGTTCGGCGATGACGACGCCGATGAGGAACTGCTTCGTGGAGATAGCCTGGAGGTTTCCGAGGAGAAGGATTCCCTTTGGGGGCAGGAGCTTCAGGCTTTGGGTGAGAGTTCGGGGCAGGAACAGAGAGTCGAGGAGTCTGGTGATTATTGGGGAGACGGTTCTTCGGGGCTTCTGAACAACGATGAAGCGCCGGCAGCACCAGCAGATGCACAGGTGGAGGGGCCTGAGGATTCGAGCTCTGTGAAAAACCATGAAGCGCCAGCAGCACCAGCAGATGTTCAGGCGGAGGGGCCCGAGGATTCGAGCCTTGTGAAAAACCATGAAGCGCCGGCAGCACCAGCAGATGTTGTGGACATCTCAGATGATGATGGCGGGCCTACCGAGCCGATCCCTCCTCGAAACGATCCTATTGAGCTGATCAAGAAGCGGTTGGAGATTCTAAAGAAACTTGCAATCCAGTTAAGGCTTTGATTGAAATTGATGTATGTATGTATGTATGTATGTATGTATGTATGTATGCATGTATGTATGTATGTATGTACGTATGTATGTATGTATGTATGTATGCATGCATGCATGGATGTATGTACGTATGTATGTACGTATGTATGTGTGTGTATACGTGCTAGTATATATGTATGTACACATGCAAACCCTGAAGTCATTATTACCCAACAAACCTATTTAAACTTGAGCCTGACGGGACTCCTCCTGCCAAAGCTTTGTTTTCATCCCATGTAAGACCGGCTGCATCAACCCGAATTAATGGTCACTACTCTTGAGGAAAGCCAAGGAGCAGAAGACCAAGTTCCGTCGAGATGCTCCGGACACCGCATCGTCCTGCGCTGATCCCAGTACCGTGTATATATATAGGCAAATATGTGCTTGGTACATTATTTCATGTAGTTGCATGTATGTTATACAATTCTAGGCATGTATATTATTGTTTTGAAATTGTGTTTTGATCCTAGGTCGCATGGAGACTCAATGTGGGTTCGATGTCATGGCATATGTGAAAGAATGGGATGCTCCAACCGTGCTGGTTGAGGATTCCCAACCACCGTTTCAGAGCAACCCTCTGGAGCCAGCTGTGGAGCCCAAAGCTACTGTGGAAGCTGTCACGAACCAGCCCGAAACAGTTCCTGAAGACTTGCCAGAGCTAGCCAAATCGACGGTGACTTTGACGGAGATCAAATCTACTGAGGAAGCTGTTGCAAACCAGCCCGCAACAGTTCCCGAAGCCCTGCCAAAGCTAGCCAAGTCGATGAGGAGTGTCAAGGCCAACGAGGCAAGTGTCTCGAACCAGTCAGCTGTGGAGGCCGAAAACTCGGAAGTTCTCTGTGCAGACCCCAAAGCTACTGAGGAAGCTCGCGCAGACCCATCCACAGCCAAGTGCGAAGACTCGGCACCTCTCTGTGCAGACCCCAAAGCTAGTGAGGAAGCTCACTCAGACCCATCCACAGCCAAGTGCGAAGACTCGGCACCTCTCTGTGTAGACCCCAAAGCTAGTGAGGAAGCTCAGTCAGACCCATCCACAGCCAAGGGACCTGTGGAAACAGCCCCGCCAAAGAAGTCTAAAACTTCCCCCAAAGCTCTCCCAGACCCACCTGTGACCAAGCTGCCAGCACTCACTCGGGGGACCCCGCTTCTTCTGTCGGAGCCTTTGCAGTCCAAAGCAGACGTGTACCAAGAGGCCATGCTGGGTTGTATAAGCCATATATTTACAGTCGTAGGTGCACAAAATGTCAATGGGAGTCCTATTTTGGGGATCGCTGAGGTGTGAGATTCGTGTCACACCGCATCAGTGTAGCCCTGGCTGATTCCTTGGTTTTCGGCAGGCCGAAGCCCAGGTGGTCACGACCAAGCAGGACCAGGATGCAATGATGGCAGCTGTACAGAAGGAACAGCCCAAGGTTGGACCCAAACGCGGCCGTGGCCGTGGCCGTGGCGGCCCCGCAAAAGGAGAACAGGAGACTGGCCGAGGGCGTGCCACAGGCCGTGGCCGTGGAGGTCGTGGCCGCGGAGGGCGAGGGGCTGGAAAGCCTGAGGAGCCCAAGGCAGAGGAGACGCCGTCTGTGAACGGGGAGCGGCCGAAGAAGAAGGCAAAGGTTGCTGCAGAGGGCAAGGCAACGAAGGATCAGAAGAGCGAGGAGACCCCCAGCGCCAAGAAGAAGCCTGCAAAGGCTTCGGCTGCCAATGCATCCATTGCTGTGGTTCCTTCGGAGGCATCATCGGCATCCGTGCAATGCATCCAGTGCTCTGGTTCCTGCTGAGCCATCAGTGGCACCTGCTGCAGGGGTTGCATCGGGGAATCCAAGCAAGCGACGCAAGAAGGAGACGAAGGGTGACAGATCGAGAGATGGTGTGCCGGACTTCGCCCATGTAGAATTGAGTATCTACTGGACCAAACATATGGTGGGCCTCAAACCCAAGACTGGTTCCGAGAAAGGGAAACAGGCAGTGTCTTTGTACAATTGCAAGGGTCGTGTGGGCTTGGGGGCTTCCTAGAAACGACTTATAGGGAGGGGCACGTCTGTGTTGGTATTGCCTGGAGGTTATCTCTGTGGCCAACAAGAAGGCGACCTTGGCTCAGAACATCAAGTATGCTGTGATGATGGCCAGCTTCTCAAGACTGGTGTGGTGTGTGTGTGTATGTGTGTGTGTGTGTCTCCGTGTCGGTCGAAATCATAGGGTTCAGGGTTTAGGGGTTTAGGGTTTATAAGGGTTTAGGGTAAACTCCCTCAGTCGCAAGATCCGAAGCCCATAAACCCGAAGTGCTAAGCCCGAAGCCCTATACACCCTTAAACCCGAAGTGCTAAGCCCGAAACCCTATTATAAGCCCGAAGCCCAAAACCTTGAACCCGAAGTGTTAAACCCTGCAATTACTCACAACCTACCTCGCTTTACCCTGTGCCCGTCTGCATCCTTCCCAGGCTGCTGTCCTCGAACCCAGTGAGGGCGAGGTGACTCCAGAAGTCCAGGCCAATTTGGCGCAGATGAAGATGGATTTCCTTGGTATGGACGATGTGGCAATTTCAAAGTTTTAGACAGTAGAAGAGTGCACGGGTGCCGGGCAGCACAATGAGAGTGCTTCTATAAGTGTGTGTACTATGCCCATGTAAACCCTTAAGACTACTATCTACTAATTTTGCATACTTAATAGCAGATCCCTCCCAAACCGTATACCTTCCCTAGTGTAACCGAACCTATACAGTCCGCTCTTGAAACCGTATATGCTTATCTGGGTTGTGTACGAATGCCTCAGTCCGATTCATGCCTGCTGCATCCACATTTTGATCGTGGCAGCACAGCACTACTTCCTGTGCGTACCCTGCAGTTGTCATGACAGCTGCGGGCTTTGGGTTTTGGGGTGCAGTGGTTCGCACAGGCTTCTGGCTACGCTGATTTGGCTGTCGTGTCATGTGGGTGTCCATACGCAGGTGTACTTGAGCTTTATGTACATCCGAACTCCGGGACTGAACAGGGTTAACACACGGTATATAGAGGTATGTTTCGTATCGATCCTCTCAGGGTTTGGTGGCCTTGTACATTCACCAGCTGTCTTAATCTCAGACTGCTCGAGTCAATCCCAAATTTAAGGTAATTGTCACTCACTTCAAAAGCCGGGAAGGCTGTGCGGACTGAAGCACAGTTTGCATGGGCTTGATCCCATGCATCATGCAGTCCTCGAACCTGGCAGCGAGCCGGGCCTTCTGCGCAGTTTGGAAACACGTCTGCGAGGGTGTGGAAAATCTGGAGCTCTCAGCTTGCTCAGCTCACTGGCTCTCTGGTCTGATGTAACATGAGTGCAGGATTCTTTGTTCTGCCGAGCGACAGAAGAGATTCCTGCAGGTCAGCGCAGAGCGGAAGGGCAGAAGTATAGTATAGCGCCCTCCTGACAGCTTCTGAGTGGGGAGTTTCTCATGACTGGTGCTGAGGCGATTGGCTCTGTGGCGGTCACAAACTCCTTGTCCGTTATGGGTCAGGCCGGGGCTCGTGGGTTTAAGTCTAAGTGTATTTTATCTGGGTAGGAGTAGTTACTGCTGAACTAGGCTAGAAAGGGCTTTGAATTATTGTTGTAGGGTTTAAGACAAGGTGTGTCCAGGTCCAGGTTTGTTACTTCCTAGTGGTTCCCAACTGCAAACGAGTTTCGAGACACACCCTCACAGTGCATGCCACCCACACTCACAAAAGTCCTTATCGACTCTATGCAGCACCCTGAGACCCCCCTTTACACCATCTCAGCAAAAACCGGCACAGCATGTTTTCCTTTATGTTTGGACGGTGTCTATGTAGCTCGTTGTCTTTAGTGTGTTTGTGTATATGTTTTGTGGATATGTAGTGCTATATATATATATATGCACACACACATATATATATAATATTATATATATATGTATATATATATATATGGTAACCCCCCCCCCATTGACCTACCCTTT